TCTTTACTGTTATTAATATAGCCAATCCAGCTTTCTTTAGTTTTAGTATTACATGTCTTTTTCCCATCCTTAGACTTTAAACTTCTCTTTATACTTAAAAATGATTAATTGTAGATGGCATGTAGCATATAGTTGGATTTTGTTTTTTAATCCAATCTGACAATCTTCATGTTTTAATTGGTATGTTAAGAAAATTTATATTTGATATAATTTCTTAGACCATGGATTCATACTTACCATCATGCTAAATGCCAATTGTTTGCTTTTTTTTTTTTTTTTTTTTTTTAGTACTGGGGATTGAAACCAGTACTAGGTGCTGGGCCACTGAGATACATCCCCAGCCCTTTTTATTTTTTAAGACAGGGTCTCACTAAGTTCACAAGACTGGCCTCAAATTTGCAATTCTCCTGCCTCAGCCTCCAGAGTTGCAGAGATCACAGGTGTGCACCATAATGTCCAGCATGCCAATTATTTTTTATCTGTACCATGTGTTATTTGTTCAATTCTGTTTGCATTTGTTTTATGTGATTTTTATGTTTCTATTTTTGTCTCCACTGTTGACTTGTAAGTTGTGCCACTTAAAACTTCTAAATGGTTGGTCTATGGCTTCAAACATGCATTTATAATTTTAAAGTCTACTTTCAAGGGACAAAAATTCATGACGAGTATGACAATATGCTTCCAATTTCTATCTGTCCTGTTTTGTGATATTGTTAAATCTTACTTTTATACATTGTAAACTCATAATACCTTGTTCCTATTTTCACTTGTTAACTATCAAGTGTTAAAATAAAATTTTAAAAAATACTTTCATTTTAACCATTTTCAAAAGTCTCTTGGTAGATTCATGTCTATTTCTGATAGGATATTCTTCCTGTTTGTAAAAGTCCTTAAAACTTCTTGTAGTGCAGGTATGCCAATAGTGAATCTTATCAGCTTCTGTTCATCTGGAAATGTTTTAATAGCATACTTTTGGAAAGATTTTTTTTAAAGTATATTCTTTTTTTGTAGATTTCATTTATTTATTTATTTTTATGTGGTGCTAAGGATTGAACCCAGGGCCTCACACATGCGAGGCAAGTGCTCTACCGCTAAGCCACAACCCCAGGCCCTGAAAGATTTTTTTCTACTGGACTTACAATTTTTGATTGACAGAATTTTTCCAAATGTTGAAGATGACACTCCACTGTCTTCTGCTTGCTTGGTTTCAGATGAGGATTCTGCTGCCTTTCTTATATTTGCTTTTCTGTATGCTCTTGGCCAATGTTTTTGTCCATTTTTAGTTGTGTGGCAATAAAGTACCTGTGATTTCCAGTTTTGTTTTAAATCCCACTTTCATATTCTGAGTTTCTTGGATCTAGGTGAGGTCTTTATTTTTATAAAATTCTCAGCCATTATCTCTTCAAATATCTATTTTCCCTCCACCCTGGGTTTAGAATCATAAAAACATTAGATATTACAATATTTTCAATTATTGGATGTTCTTGTTTTCTTCACACTTTTTTCTATTGTGTTTTAGATTGGGTGTTTTCTATTGACCCACATTCAAGTTTTCTGATAATTTTCTCAGCTCTTTTAAGCCTACTCATTAAGTCCTTCAGAAGCATTCATTATAAATTTTCTTTTCTAGCATTTCCCATTTGATTCTTTATTAACTTCCACTGAAATCCTCATCTTCTCATGCATACTGTCTGCTTATTTCACGTATCAATCAGTTATGTAAAATTCCTTGATAGCTCCAAAATTTGGTCAACTCTGTGATGTTGACTGGTCTGCTCTTAGTGGAGGGTTTTTTCTCATTTTTTATTCAAATGCCAGATAACATATACAGAATAGTAGAGACTGAAGAAAAGAATATTTTTGCCTGGAATTTGGGTTGTTTTGCTAGGATTTGTTAGAATGTTCAATTTCTCTGGATAGTAAGAAAGCTAGAATTGAATTTTTTCTTTCTTTCTTTTTCTCAGTAGTTATCTTCAGTGTACCACTGGCTTCAAACTTCTCTGGTATTATGCTCTGGTGTGTTTAGGATGGGGGTTGGAGTGCTGGAAGACTTTCCCCAATATTTATGCTTACTTCAGCTTTTGGCCATCCTGTACACTTGTGCCAGAGAATTCTTCTTTGTCCACATTCTTCCCTTTTCCCAGTGTAGCCCGCTGTTACTTGTCACCAGGAGCAGAACAGTCCAGGGTGTCCTAAAAACTGAGACTAAATAAAAACAACAGGAATCCTATGCACTTTGAGGAGAAAAACTACATACCACTAAAATAAGACTGAAGCTTTTTCCTTGGTTGTGAACAAAGAAAGCAGGAATGCTGTCATGTGAGCAATCACAAGACCCAAGTTTAATCTATCTGTATCTTTTCATTTATATAAACAAAAATACTTTTGGTTTGAGTAACCCTGAATTTTTTGTTACTAAGATTTTAAAGCCTTCTTATTAATAAAACCACCATGAGTTCTCATGATTTTTCCTTAGAAGTGATGATAAGAAAGAAATGCATTAGAAGCCCTGGATTTCTGATGATACTGTAATTCTTGAGCCAGCATCTCAGAGATCAGTTCAAACTAGTGCCTTTGTCACCCTTTCATCCAGCAGAGGGAAATATGACCCCCCAAAATGTGATGCATCAGCTTACTCTACTGTCATGTGGACATCCTAGGCAACACTGAGACCAAAAGAAATCTCACAGAAATATAAAATTGTTGCATCTAAGCATCTAATTAATCTGTATCCTCAAAAACCCCCAAAATTTGAAAATTAAACTCAGGGGTTTTATTCTTACATTTAGGCCATATTGTCAAAGAATAAAATAGAGCAATCCTATCACAAGTTCTTAAATAGAGGATTAATATCTCAGTAGTTGATTATTAATTTAATAAAACTGGTAAATATCCATTGTACTTTTTAAAAATGAACTGCAAAAAAAAAAGAGAGAGAACTAAGATTTTCTTGCTAAGGAAACTGCTATATACATGATGATGAATAATCTTTCAAATATTATCTATAAGCATGTATTTGAACACACATTATATATATAATTAAATTTTAAATTAACTAGATATTATGAAGGCACAACACACATTTTCACTAAACAATATTCATGATAGTGTGCTGTTGTTTTCAATGCATCTAATACTTTTTGTAGCTCCACAGTAAAGGAATATAAAGAAAATTTTCCAAACTCCCACTGATGAATAATTATTGCATTTTTATATTATCATCAATGTAAATCCTCCATCACTGTTAAAATTGATCATAAATTAATATCCTATTATTTCCAGATGAGTATCCACATTTTGCATTTTGATATAGTTATGTAACTCACAACATTTCAATCAACAATGGAATGCACATATGAAGAGAGTCCTATAAGATTATATTGCTGGGTGATGTTGTAGACATCTTGGTTTGTGTTAAGTACATGCTATGATGTTCACCCAATGAAAATGCCCTACATTTCTCAGAATGTGTCTCTGTTCTTAGGTGATACATGACTATATACACAAGAGTTTGATATGTATTGGATGAGAAACTCGTATTTTTCACTCCCAACAACAAAATGCATTATTCTGGAAAACTGAGATCAGCAAGTAAATGGCAACACTGTCCTAATAGTCAACTGGTTAAATGCTTTCAAAAATTCAAGATTTTCCCCTTCGTGCAAGTCGGGAAAGTGTGAGTACAGAGAACTTAAAAGTTCTTCAAGCTTGCCACACACCCTGCCTACAAAGGTCTGGATTAGAGACAACACCAACACTTAAAAATCAGTCTGATCAAATGGACTTTAATGGAAATATGGAGAGTTTTTTAAAAAGCCA